AAGTGTTATTTAGTTTTATAGTTAAATAGAGATAAGGTGGTAATAATAGTGTTAATGACATAATACCTGCATTAATTCATTTTTTGCCACTTGGAAGAAGCAGAACAATAAAACATTGATATATATTATCACCCTGTAAATTTTCAAGGCGTGTTAGCCATACATTGTCTATTTATTCATCCACCAGACAAAAAGCAACATTAGCATTCATGTTGAGTTGTGTTTCTGGCCACCTGCTCTATGTAAGTCCAGCATTCACTCTCCTTTTTTGCTCTGTTTTCCCCGAGGGAAAAATCTTCAGCTTCTAAATGCTCCACTAGTCTCTAACTTTGTCTGCTGTTTGGTACTGACAGTGTAAAGTGGCTTTATCACGGCTTTGTTGCTGAAAACAGCTGCCTGCTGTGGCTGGATGTAACACTGATGAGAGCAGTGAGAGTGTCAAAGTTGCAAAATCAAAAAAGCGAGCTGAAAGACACTGAAAATGCTCCGTAAAAACTGAGGGAACTGAACTGCAGAGTTGGGTGATAATTAGTTGTGGGTTTGTCACCACAAGTGACATTTTTCACATTTCACACAGTCATTTGATCCATGGTTAAATTGAAAATATTGATTAGAGCAGCTTCAAGTTGTGATGGCAATCGTCATAACTTTAAGATGTCAGCAGGGCATGAGTCCATTTATAATCCTTTCAATCAACTGAAAATCTGTTCTGTCAACCTGAGACGTGTGTGTGGTTCCATTATTAAATCCTACATCATTCATCTGACACAACTGATAACTTAAGTCTCAACTGTCATCACTGATGGAGCTGTTTTATAGTTCTCACTGTCAAAAATGACATCTGTAACACACATGCAGAGAGGACCACTTCTGCACACCCGTACAGCATTCATTCACTCATTACTATTATTTGCCAGATGGTGCTATATATCTTCATCAGCTGAGGGTCACCCCACTGGATGGTAATTCCGAAGCGAAACAAAGCCTGTTAGTGAGTTATATAAGTGACCTTGCTGACAGTTTTAATTAGATAAATTCACAGTAATGGATTAAATAACAAAAGAAAGGAAAAAAAATCTTGAGAACATTGCCAGGCCTTGGCTGGGTAAAGTTTTCCATTTACAAAGCCTGCTTTTCAACCTCTCCCCTATTCTTCACTCACCTCTACTGAGGTAGTGTTGGTTGTAGATGAAGATTTAGAACACTTTATTATCATTTAGATTTACATAAAATGCCAATTTGTCTTTGGCACTTTCATATTTCACAAGACAAATAATAATTAAAATGATAGATAGATAAAATAGGTTCCTTAAAAGAAGAAGGCGAGGGTTAGCGGAGTCAGTGTGTGCATGTGTGGTGGGGGGGGAGTCCTTAAAAGACATTTGGTAAAAATAGTCAGTGAATGAGATAAAGGATTTCTTGAAATAGGATTTGAGGTGTATGGCTTGAAGGCAGCATCTGTTATGGTAATTCAAAGGATGGGCAGCATCACTGAAAAACTGGATTGTGGATTGGTACTTGAGTTTGAGCTGTTGCTAGCCTGGTTGAGAAACTGAGTCAGTCACCTCCTCTTTTGTGGGTCTGTCAGTATAGATTGTGCGCAGTTTACACTTCAGGTTCATTTATGTTGTTGTGATCGGCTGTGCACATACAAGTGACGGAGGTAGTTGTGTGAGGAAGCTTAAGAGAGATTGTTGGTTTGGGAAAATTACAAACATTGTCCAATTCAGATGTCAGAAAGGGGATGGGGTTTTAGGCACTGTTCATTTTGAAGCATACCAAACTCCTTAAAGGGATGAAAACTCAAATCCATCATTCAGGACAGACAAGTTCTTAGCATTTCTAGGTACCGTGGGTGGCCAAAAGTCTATAGCGATAACTTTTAAAATGTATCTGTCAGGAAGTGGCAGGGGAATAGAGTTATTTATGCTTACCATGAGCGCTGTGCCTTACTTGTGTAGCCATGCTGCTGTAAAAGAAGCCATTGCTAAAACACTGAATTGTTTTTAGATTTTTGAGCTATTTCAAATTGCCTTGCTGCCCATATGAAACTTTTGTCCCTGAAGTGAAAATAAACAAGTCACACATAGTTTAGATTGTCTGGTGCAGCTAGCCTTGAGGCAAACTATAGTAGCACCAAGTAATTCAACCTCAAGTAGCATGTCAGCAAAATGCACGCAACAATGATAATTCTTTACATTGGTGTCAGTTTCCAGCTCATTGTTTTCTGTGCTGACACAGTGTTCATAGTACTTTTATTACTTGGCCATGTGGTGCTCGAGAAAGTATACATATTTCATGGATTGATTGATATATAGGTATTGTTTATGTTGAACAGATATTAACATTTGGTACAGTGCTCACTCATGATCAACATGCGAGGTTATGACAGCTACTGAAGGTGCCCTCGGAGCAAATTTATGGATATGGAAGGGAGCACAATTCCTACGTTTTATAAGAGAGCCAGTATGCCATGGATGCCTTTGTGAAAGAATATGATGTATGTATGCCTTATAATTCATTCTAGGTCTCACTGTTATCCATTAAAGAATGCTGTTTTCCATCCATAAATGCATACGAATATGAGCATAAATTCTTTATCTTGCCCATATCCTGTAGCGGTCAAGAATGTTATCTAGATATGCTTATGCTCTACTTTGTCCTCATCCTCTCTCTTTGTATTTCAGTTCATCTCTTAGCCTTTTCTGTCACCGATTTACATATTGATGTGGTTGCTTGGTTTTTATTTTTCATTCCCTCTTTCATGTGTTAGATTTATGAAGATTGTGAGCCAACCGGAGACGCTGTGATTAGACACCTTATCTTTAGACAGGTGTCTTATTACACCAAAAAGCACCTCATTACACCAGTTACATATTGACCCTTAAATCCACTTTTTTTTTACCGCCCTTTCTGTATTTTTTCAACCAACAGCCATTTTTTTTCATAAGCCCTGATGAGCTTTTCTGGAACAAAATTATATTTGAGGGTATCTTTAACATATTGCAACCAAAAACAAAACACAAGTTTTTGACTTGTGCCTTCTTTCTGGCTGTTATTATATATTCTGTTGGTGATATGTAATTATAGCGGCACTATTTCAAAAGCCACAGGTTTTTGTGTCTGACATACCCACAGCCCTGTCAGATGAGCACAAGTACTCCCCAATCAGTGCCACCTGTCATGTTCCAAATGTGTTCATTTAAATTAATTTTCATGACATTCAGCATTTCTCTGCTTGTCTGCTAACACATTTTCATGCACACTTAACCGCCTGGTGTTAAGGTGTTACAGCTGAGTCAGACTGGTGGGAGCTGGGTCTTAATATAGCAAATACAAAAGAAATACTATACTCAAGATCAGACTCACATGGATTTATAATCCTATTAGTGTTTTTTTTAGTCTTAAACACAAATATATGGATATACTGAATCATTATTTCTGTCTTTTATAATTAGCTGCGCTGTTCTACAATCTTTCTACATATCCCCATGACAGCTGCAGATGTATACCCTGTTGTATGAGTACCCCTGGTCTGGAATGACGGGTGTAGAGGCCAGTGATTGTCACTGCCACTGTTCTGAGACAATATGTCAAAATCTCGGCAGAGAAAATGAAGGAAAAATACACCATACTCCTATTTCATGTTTTTTCATGTGGAAAATGCGTAAAACGTTTCATTTTGTTTGATAGTGCAACTTTTTCTGCTGCTGGCAAAATTGTGAAGATGACATGATGCTTTCATGTCATTGCTGATGGAATAATTTCAGATACAGTGCTTATAGGCTTATACATTTTCAGGCCATGTATGTGTCCAAAAATAGGGACTTCTTTCTAGAGTTACTATTTTGCACTTCCAATTAGAGTGAATGTACAAAAGCCAGCTATTTAAGTTGGTCATTTGCTCCAACAAACACAACTGTAGCATTCATAAGTAGCAACAAGAGGCACTGGCATTGTCTTTGTAATTGGTTTGAATCCTTCTTCAGCTCAGTGCACAAACTCATTCTTAGGCATGTGCATCCTCGCCACACCAACAACTGGGGGTGGCAACGAGAACAAAAACATATAGTAATAGTAATGACACTTCTTTGGTCAAACTGTGGGGACAGAAATGCACAAAAAAAAAAAAAAAGTGCAGAAAAACTGCATTGCGGCTACAACTTATTTCTCTCCAATCTCAGATTTCATTGTCACAACATATATCATGCTTAGTGTTTAAGTGAAGTCTACCAAACGAGTGAATGTGATGGGCCCATGCCTCAGGCTTTTCTGGGAAATGTAGAATCTCTCTAACTGAAGTCTTAGACTTAAATAAAACAGAACAGGTTGAGAAGAAGTTGGAGCTTAAAAAAGTTCAAATTACAGCATGCTGTTATGACAAAATCTTTGCAATGCATTAACTGTCACAGATTGTTAAAACTGTAGATGACTTTTTTTTTTTCTTTGTCGCTGTTGGTAGCTCATACACTTGGCTTCCAAAATATTTCATCCTGTTTGAAATGTTGCCAGACCGGCTGTAGACCTGCTAAATATCATTTGTGTTGTTTTATTTTATTTACCTGACTGATCACTGCTCCCTCCATCTGTCTGATTCTCTCCATCTTTCCCTCATCTCTCACTGTCATCCCCTGCTCGCGTATCTCTCACTTGTCTCTACTTCATTGCTCTTCATCTACTTGCTCATCTCTCTTCCAATCCACCCCCTCTGCATTTCTCCATCTTTTCCTCCATCTTTTTTTCACTCCATTTATATAAATTCCTCCATATTTTTTCACATCTCAGCTTTTCCATCATTTTTCCATTGGTTAACATATTTGCCCATATCTGTTTGCCTCCATCTGTCATCCCCCAACCCACTCTCTCTATTTTAATCGTTAAATCTCTGCATCTACCTCTCTCTATCATTTCTCTTCATCTGTTTATTTCCACAATTTTTTTTCCTCACATTTCTGATGGTTCGGTCTCTCTCTCTCTCTCTTTCCCTTTGTCCTCTGCAGCTGGTATTGTTCGGAAAAAGCAGTGGTGTGAGATGGTGCCATGTTTGGAGGACGAAGGCTGTGACCTGTTAGTCAATAAATCTGGCTGGACTTGTACACAGCCCGGAGGCCGAGTCAAAACCACCACGGTGAGTTCAGGTTCTCTTTTAGCCCCCCAGGTAACATCTCCAAACTAATCACAAACCAGTTTGCAAAATGTGCATAACTACTGCACCAGTGGCACTGAGAGCAACATGACCGTAAAAGCTGGGAATTAAGCGTTTGCCCGGAAAATCAATTGTGGTGTAAATCCAGAGTAATGACAGATTTTATGAATGTTTTGTACATTAAACAAATGATTTAACTGTTTTTCTTGCCAAACATGACTGTTAAGCGGCCATTTCAATAAACTGAGTTATTGCACAGTATAACAAGACATTTTTGTGTATTGTCACCCATTAAAAGCTCTGATCTGCAGGCATATATGAAAGCCAAATTTAAAGCACTGCTTTCAGCTTCTGACTATTTGGCTCAAAACATGTATACAATTTAACTGACTGATATTTGACAGTGTTTACTTGGAGGTTGCAAAAAGTCAAGCTTCTTCAGTGAAACCCCTGAAACTGTTGTTGTTATTTTTCAATATATACATGCAAAACATTGTAAATCCCATATACACTGATAGTCCTAACTTTGTCTGTCTACATGCAATAGTTCTTCACTGTAGCTGAAAGCTGATTAGAGGACACTACACTAACCAGAACATTAAATTGCAGGACCAAAACATTGATCTCAAAGTCACTAAAAAGCTACATGGAGGGTGTGTTTGTCACCACAAGTAACAGCTTTCACATTACGCTAGGTCATTTGGCAAAATATGATTTTAGTGCAGTTTTAAAAGCCTTATTGGGAGAATCTTGGGTATTGCAAGAAAATTTAATGCAATATACTTGCTACTTGTGGCCAAAAAATAACATTTGGCCATTTAAGTCCATGATTGCACTTTTAAGCACCATCTCCAACTGCTGCCATATTACCATACGTTGGGGCCAGCTTGCACACTGTCAGCCACAAGCACACTGATAGCAGCAGAAAACCCAGTTAAGCATTCACTTCACAATCCCCTGAAAATGTTTCTCTCCCGCCCTCCTTGTCTTCAGCTCATCTCTACAAACTGTATGCGGTTTGTTTACTTCCTCATCACCAGCAATTAGCTTGCATTAGGGACGCTCTTAATGTTAATGATGGCAGCAGATGGGAAGCCGCCGCTTGTATTCGCTAAGATGCCGCCCATTCATTCACCCACTCGTCCTCCACACCCTATCTCCAGCACTTCAAGCCTCCTCCTCTCCACTTCAGCCCCAACTCCAAAACACACACACACACACACACACACACACACACACCTTCCTACCTCCTTACAACCTCCCACTACTTTCACCCCGACGCCTGCTTTACAAGAGACACAAACACTGTTGCTGTCCTGCCTGTATGCCAAGTCTATACTGTAGCAATTAGAGGTCTCAGATGGGAAACATGTTACGCAACACACACACACTCAACACAGCTGCCCTATCTCTGAATGTCAATGGGTGAACACTGAGGACCGGTGGGGCATCATTAATGCATCCGTCATGATTTAGTCATCAGCTGACTAACTTGTTTATGCCTTCCTGCTGAAAGACAAACACACATATATAGCGGATACACACACTGAATGCTGAACCCAGATGATATGGTTTGTTATCAGTCAGCTGCTGCCCCCGTGCACTTTCTGTGCTGTGAGTCGTGCGTGTCTGTCAGCGCCCTGACACCACCCTGAATATACCTGGTCGTGGAGACTGAGGTGACAGCTGTTACATGTTCCACCTACAATGTAATTTGTTATCTGGGCAGGCAGATAGCCCACACGCAGACACTCACTCACTCATAGGTAACATATAGCTGGGTCCATTTATTATGTTTGACAGATTTAAGAGCTAGTGTGCGTCTGTTGGAGGTGGTTGAGTATGCAAATATGGTGGTCACTGTGTGTTCGGAGGCCAATAGATCAAGTGTGGGTGGATTCTTAACTGCATGTTAACATGCTCTCCCTGACACCTGTTGCTTTGTGTTTTCAGCTGTTTGCATATTCATAATTTTGAATATGTGTCCCTGTCTGGCCTACATATACACTTCATATCCTTCTTAGGATGTCAGTCAACGTACCTCTCATCGGCTTACGCTGACAATATGCAGGATGTGACAGGTATTTCTTGCTTGCTTCATTGGCTACTTTAAGCTTGGTGACAGCTAGTCAAATGGCTGGACGGCTATGTGCACTCATCTGTGCCAGTCTGTGTGTGTGTGTGTGTGTGTGTGTGTGTGTTTAAGCAGTTTTCACTGTCAAGGATTCTAATCAATGGCAACAAGCAGACTAGGGGTCATTGTTTAAAATTCTTCTAAAAATATTCATCTATGTGATGAATGGACTGGCCTAAACTAACCGCTCCCTTTAATCTCAAATTGCAGGAAGTTGGGAAGATTTAAGACATTACTTCACAACCATGCATGTAACCTAAAAATTGCCTAAAATGCATTAAAGGTTAAGGCTGATTTTCCAAAACAAAAATTACATAAACCTCTTGTTATCTGAACACCCAAGGGAGAATCTCAGGCAAAAACAAAACAAACAATTTACTCCTCAGCCTCCCTCTGGTTAACTTTGAACAAATGGCCCCTTCCCTGAGGCCTATCAAGGTTAAACCCAAACTGCAGCCACCCCAGTAATGCCTAGGGATGACTGTTGGCAGTGCACAGTCCAGTGAGCATGTCCGACCTGTCTGTCAGGTGTTTGTGCGAAAACATCAATGCGGACAAACAGACATATCCCTCGGGGCATTTGACTAAGCCAAGTCAATCTGACTCAGCCCCATAGCCCCATAAAGGGCTATTTTGGACAAATGTCAAGAGGTGGTTTGCGTGTATTGGTCAAATGTTTGAGAGTTTGTGTTTTCTCTGTCAAACAGACGGAGATTGTTGTTCAGGATGACACCCCTGACCTCCTCTCTACCTTTAGTCAGCAACACGGCTCAGTATGAGTTGCAAGGCAGATAAGATGTGCTGTGCGTCCTCCCTCAACCTACAGAATGTCACTCAGCTCAGCGGCCACAATTTGATGTTCCTCTTTTTAAAAATAACTTCCTCACATACTTTTTTGTCTCTCTGCTAGACTACTTCTCCGACTTTCTTTTTCTCTTTTCACTTTCACTCCTTTTCTGCCTTTCACTTTTTCTTTCCTCCTCTTTGTCCCCCTCTCCATGCATTTATCTTAGTCTGACCCTGCTTTGAAGAGTACATGCTGTTCCTGTCAATAAAAACACAATATTGATTTTTCTAAGGCCGGCTCCAGAAGAAACACATGAAGATTGATATGTACATTGCTTATGGTTGACAGTGACGTTTTGAGTGAGGTTACTTTTATTAGCAGCACAAAACAACCTCAGCAAGAAAAGGACACATATCAAATAGAGGTGCACTTGTGAAGCTCTAGCACATATTTCTCTCAGTATCAGGAGTCTCGCTGATACAGTGACAAGTTTCTCCTCTAAAGGACTGACCTAACACAAAGTGGAATTCCTCAGATGAACCATATCAAGCTGTAAGACTGTAAATGAGCTCTTCGGGTTCACTTAACTGCATTAATAAAATGCACATGGACACTCAATTGCATGCCCATCAGTCACTACTTTATTTTCTGTTTTACCTGAGTACATAAAATCTGCCAAAGTATGTGACTTGTGGCAACCCATAAAAATGATAATCACCACAGAAATACTTGGCCAGAAAGACCTGCCTAAATATAACTTATGTAACCAAATGTTCAAGCGTTCACAAAACCCTGCCCCTGAATCCCTCAATAGCAATTAACAATCATAGGTAGGCACAGCAGGCATAACAGTCAAGGTTTGGATTTCTGCACATGGTGAAGGTGGTGGAAGGTGGTGCCTTTTATAAGAACCAAAAACAAAGGAGTAAACGTGTAAGGTATGGATTAAACTGTGTATCTATCTGCTCTAACATAAGCAGGAAACGTTAACATGCCCTGCTTACTAGTAGCCTAGCGTTATTTCCAAGCTAACTACATTATTTAGTGGGGTTACAAGTTACAAGTTTGGTTAAAAAACTCTTAGGTAAAAAAAATAGTTTAGAGTAATAGTAGTGATACATCAGTTACTCCTCATCCTTAAATCTTGTTCACCTGTAAAAATTAAGCATACTGAAAACACAAGCATTAAAGCATAAATCTAACTACCATGTAGCTTGTCTGAGTTTAAACCTATGTTAGAACAAGTTTCAATTACATTTCATTTGTAATACTGCACTGGCAGACAAAGGGTAACTAGCTCTACCTTGGAATACGCAAACTATTTATTCTATATTTTCTACATGGACCATCAGGTGGTGAGAGTGCTGACCTTTTGTCTGGGACGTGCAGCTGTAGCCTCAGTCTTCTATCACAATCTAATGTACTGTATGTATCAGGTTAATATTTATGGACCTTTTGCAAAAAGTCATCTGGAAACGTTAAAATGTCAGCGAGACAACCTGCTTAGTTTTAGCATTAGCTCATGCTAGTTAGCTACATCTGAAAAGACTCTGCTTGCAGCATAATTATCTGCCAACAAAATTCACAGCCCTGATCTAGAAATGAGAAGACTGCTTTCGTTTACCTGTGTCTAGAATCCAGGATGGATTGTTTCAAAAATGACTATGAATTTTGAGTGTTAATTTTGGCATCATTATAAACTACAAATTTGCAATGCTGACAGGTGTAGCAACAGTAAAGGGGTGGATAGAGGAGTTTGTCTTTCACAGGACAGAGAACAAACCCACTTACAGTAAGGTATTTTCAAAACTCTTGAAAACAGATTAATATAGCATGAACCTTTAGTTTTCTATGGTGCTAAAGCTGCAAAATTATTTATAATACAAACCAAAATGATTTATGATAACTAATACATGTTAGTGTATGACTAGTGACAACAAAATATCCCGTGGTCCCTGGAAAGATCATATGGAAAAAATCACTTGATATAGAAACACTTTTCATGCAGCAAGTAGTGGTTAATTTCCCAATCCTAAAATACTTTCCACTCTCCATGATGCTAAATGACTTGAATGTATTTTATCACACAGTTACCACAGTCAAATGCTGTCTTTGCTGCCTCTCCAAAGCACTCTTTTGGCAAAGTGATATGTAGTCTCAGCAGTCATCTCCTATACCTCCTTCTCTCGGTGAAAGGCTTACTGCTGTCTCTCTCCAGAGAGGAGGATGCTCTGCGTTGTGCCCTCCACCATTTTAGACTGGCAGATGAAACGTCGCAAGGAGCTATCTCTCTCTGCATGTGCCGACGTAGGGAGCTCGGCGAGAAAGAGGCAGAGTGCGTGCGCCATTAGAGGAGAAAAGCGAAATCACCTCAGGTTATCTGACGGCTTTTGTGACAGCCTGATAAGACGAACAATTCAAAACAGGGACAGAAAAACAGCGTGAGAGAAGAAAGGAGCAATGTGAGTGAAAGACAGAGAAAGAGATTTGAGCTAGTCAGACGTACAGCATCGTAAAACATTAAGTCATTTTCAGTTGGTGCCCATCAGGCAGTGGCTCTTGTTAAGCCTTTCAGTGCCTGTAAAGTTCATAGAGAAGGACAAAAATAGAGAAGTGTTTCTCTCACCATGTTATAATTGCATAAAATCCAACAACAGGAAAAAGCTGTCAAGAGACTTTTCTTTTGACGGCTGCCATGCTGTTTACATAGCCCCCAATACAGCACACATGCTTTAGCCATTGATTTCAAGTGATTATTACACAGAAAGTCACTGTGATCCTGAATTCCGGCCAAATGCATCTACTTGTCGTGTTGAGTACTGTAGTTTTCACATGTACAGCAGCACACCATCATTTTTGAGACGTCGCAGGAAACAGCAGCAGTACGCTCACGAGAGAGCTGAAATGACTAAAAATTCTAACTAGGTCTTAATCATACGTTCCATTAGGTCGGTATTTAGGCAGTGAACAGAGTGCCATGAGCAGAAGTGGCACCTACTGAGAGAAAGACTGTGATTACTGTAATCAAGACCTTTTTTGGAGAGGAGATGAGAGTCCTGGAACCTCAGTGAAGTGAAGAAAGAAGAACATGTTTGAACATGAGTATAATCTTTGATAACGAGCTTGTGTGCATGCATATGCACTCTGTAGGTATCTGCATGTGTGAGGGGGTACGATTCTACATACTGTTATGGGCATTCATATGTATGCAAGAGGATAAAGGCTGTTTTCATCCTCACACAAACAGCCTTTTTATACAAAGGGTACAGTTTACACAAGACAATCCCCAGGCCAGTTTGTGTCTCCCTCTAAGCTTGTGGAGTATTTACGCATTTATACATCTGCCAGTGACAGCATGTGTTCGGCCGAGTATGAAAAAGCTCTTTCGATTGGGGTTTGTAAGCAAGTGCTGAGGGCCTCCCCCACCATCCCTCCCTTCGCCCTCCCCTCCATCAATTCCTCTCCGTTTCTTCCTCTCCGTCTCTCTGTGGATCCAGCTCAGCCTGGGCCTGATGGGATCCCCCAAACACCCCCTCCCTCACCAAGTCCCCCCCCCCCCTTGTGGTTCTGGGTCGGTACCGGCCTTGGTAATTGATCCCTCTGGGCCCTCTAGGCACATCCAACAGTGAGTTGAACAGAATCACCACTAAGAAGACAGCTGCTTGGCCACCCTAGACAGGCCGAGAGAAAGAGACCCTGTTGCTGCTAACCATTAGCTCTGTCTGCCAGCTTTCTTCTGGAGGGAGCCAAGTCAGCACATCGCCTCGGCGTGGAAAATACCAAGTCCTCCATTTTGGGAAGCAGGGAAAGATATTGGGACAACTGAGAGAACGAGAATGAGAAAGCCTGTCCTTATTCTTCTTATCCACAGCTAAAGAGCTTGCAGAATTGATCTGCTAATTGAGCAGTGTTGCTTAAACCCAAAACCTCTGCTAACCAGTGAAAGCATCCGTACCTGTATTTCATCCCAAGCGTCAACACTGCACAGTTCCAGAGTTTCGGCTGTTTCAATGTGGCCTATAATTGATTTCATGAAGCAGCGAGTGATCGCCTGCTGGCTTGTGCACGCTCTATAAGTAAGCTACCAGTTAGAATGAGCTGCAGGTTTATTCCAACAAGCAGGTAACATATGCACACACTGGACGACAAAACACATGCTCACTCACATGCAAGTGTAAATATACAGTGTATTCATGCCGTCCTGTGAAAAACATGTATCCTCAAATGGCCATCTGTTTAGGAGCTATGGAAAACAGCACTAATAACTTTTGCATTTTTCATACAATCCAGTAGCTTTAGCTTAGTGAGTTGAATTTTCTTAATGAATATAGAAACACACAATCCTTCAGTTTATCTGAAAAAATTTTAAAACACCAAATTTGGAGATACAACAAAAGAGGAGATTCTTAACGGATCTGCTGTTAATTGATCCACTATCTACTGTGTTTTGTCAGCTTGTTAGTGATGCTCTTCTTTATTGTAATCTCAAGTGTGAGCATTTCCCTAGGCAGGTGAAAATCAGTGTGCAAATGCGAAGAAAATTACTTGGGCACAAATAATATTTTGAACTGATGATGGCACAAGACAAAAAGTTAATCCAGTCATTAGGCTGGATGAATGTCATTACAATCCATCCATTAGTTACTGAGATATTTCCAGCACAATGCCACAAACCATTAAAAAATGATAAGGGAGCATGACACTTGAATAAAGCATACTTATACATGGTAACATGATCAACTATTAGTAGCATAAGAAAATCTGTGACTTTAACATAATGAATTATGGATGAATTAATGGTTTATTTTATTGCAATTTTAGATCATTTCATTACCTAACAAGTCTGTGGTAGTAAAAAAAAAAAAATCCCTGGAAAGTCACCAGGCCTCTGTGTATTTTCTTTCCATCTGTGCTGCTGTAAGCAGAATCAGACCCTGTTTTACTCCCACACTTCTATATTTAACACATTTAACAGTGAACACTTCACTCCAGGTTCATACAAAGCCAAACAGGCACATTTTCAAGACACCTCAGGCAGACAAATCTATGATGGTGGTGGTGGTGATGGTGTGACTGTGTCTAAATCTGGTAAAACAGAAATTCAAAATAAAACACTGCATCCTCATTCTGAGCTTGATAACCATACCGCCTCCCCTCCCTGTCCCTCCCTCCCTCCCTCCCTCCCTTCCTCTCCTCCCCGTTCCCACTACCTCTCTCCCCTCAGGCTCTATGACGCGACAAGAGTCCCCCTCGACACTCTTGCACTATGGAGAGCATTGATGACCCCTTGACAGACAGCCAAACACCATCTACCACCAACACTACCACCACCACCAACATCACAACAACTCCACCCAAACCCTGGTCCCGCAAAGGCAGGATGCAACACAAGAGCACCAGGGGCCTCTTGGAGGCAGCAAGGTACAGCGCCCCTGAATTTAGATCTGTATTCCCGCAGTAAAATCTGTGATTTGTGATTGAAATTCTAAAGCTGTTTTTTTTTTTTGTTGTTGGTTTTTTTGCATATGTTATTGATAGTTAAATGTCTATAAAACATGGCCATGCATTCTTATGGTCATTTTAATCACCAGACTTGTAGGTACTGCACATATTGATTTCAATATGGTTTTATTAGACTGCAAAAACATCACAGCAGAACATGCAAACAACAGGAAGCATGGACACACATGCAAGCACACTCACATAAATCCAGATACAATTTAAACAACTGCCTGCTTGTTTGATATCTTTATTTGGCTTACTCATTTTTCCATGAGCTCACCAGTTCCCTAGTGTGTGTTTAACCACAGAAAATCCATGTGTGCAGCAAAATCAGTAAAACCCATCGGGTTTATTCTCGCTTGTTTTTGCTCTGCTGTATTGGCATGCCTTGTATATTGTCTTTAAAGTATTGTGTCAGATGGAGTCTGCGTGCTCGAATAAAACAAGGCGCCAGACAGACTGATATTAATGCATGTGATTGGGAAATGGAGAGTAGCCATGCAGTAAATTTAACGTACAGTGCAATAAAAGAGATGAGGCCAAAGTCATAAAAATGCCCAGTCTCGTAGAGTTTCTGAGAACCAGGCTCTTCTGCCGGTCAATATTGTTAGCATTCATGACCCATGTTATCATTCACTTTCGAGAATAAATCTGATCCTACTGCTTTTCAGTCCAGACAGCAAGTCTTCAGCAGATATGATATTATAAACCAACGCAGGGTGGAATGCATGCAGTGAACCCACATCCTCTCAGTGCATCATATAGAGGATTATTGTCTATTTACTCACAGAGGAAGCTATTTAAGATTGGATTTAAACATCCGATCCCTTCATATACAGTATGAAGGATGACAGCACCATATTACCTCCAATCATTTGATCTCAATGCAGCGCAGTAACCTACACTGCATGAGCGGATGTAATCTATACATTACAGTGTATTAAAGGCAACATTTCAGGGAAGCTGTTTGTATCTAAAACAAATAAATTACTTTTTTTTTTTATCTTTTTTCTTTCATTCCTCCCTGATCCCGCTGCGGTTGTCTGTTGTAATGTTCCCTCTTGAGTATTACATTTCTGATCATATTGTAGAATCCAGATAGTGAACAGTGTTTGCTTTGATGTTCTGAAGAAATATAGTATGAAGGGGTTGATAATGACACAACTCCATATGGCTTTGAACTTTCTCTTAATGCGGAATGGGACTTAGTGTCTGGAGGCCCGTGCATACATGTTCATGTATTTTGATCTCAGCATCCGCTTCAGGCATTATTCAACTTCACAGCATGTAATGAGCGATTTTCCCTTCTCTTATTAACCTGTGGATCATTCCTAACCCACAAGTTCACTTATGAATATTCATGCAGCAGGCTATTGTGTGGCTGGCGCGCTCCGATCCAAACGGAAGCGTGCTCGCTTGCACAAGACTTAAACAAGCGAGGGCAGGAGCAAGTATTAGAAACAAGTTTAGTAACTTGATGCAAAAAACAGGAGCACTTTAGAATGACAGATTAGCAGAAAAGGCTTTCATCCATTAGCTGATGTTTTGGCAGCACTTTCTCTTCTTCAGAGCCTAAGTATAGAAAAGCGTCAGGACTAGCCAGATATAAGAAATGATTCAATCCTACATCAATTAGTCAACTGTATATACTCCTGAGAATGTTGCGTTAGTCATATCTATCAGTGTCTTGGTTAAGAGTTTGGAGAAGCAAAGTAGTTCAATTTTCTATCGTGCGTGCCCATTCACACGTTCACCATGGGTTACCACGCTGTGACATTTCGAAGGGAGTCAGCTCGAGTTCACACAGAGAGGAAATGTCAAGCCGGGGGCCATATGTTCGGGGTGCATTTGCTTTTCGATCCTCTAACTCCCAGATGGAGAGGGGCTCCATATGTACTGTGGATATAGTTTTCTTCACCTCCAGCACGTGTGGCTGCATGCACCTTCGATTGACTGAACATACAAAATGCATATGACAGCCAGCACAAATCCATGCGCCCATTCTCAATTCATACATGAAAGTATTTCAGCTTCTGCCCAGAGACAGGAAGCTCTATGTAACATCCCTGAAATCAAATGTTTTCCCTTGTCCTCGATTGAATGCTGCTGGGTACATATTGATATATTGAGTGGATCGCCTGCTTGCTCCATAACAAGAGAAACCTGCACAAATTAGACATTAACGCAGATGGATTCTGTCCATGACTTTCCCTTCTGTTACTGTGACACCCCCAGCAGTTATCATTCTCACTCCAAAGTCTAATTCTCTTTCTGGTCCTGTTTGAACAGCCAGAGCCACTGTACTCAAAGTTTGTCCATGTGTTCAATAGCCACTGCATCACATTTCCCTCGACTCTGCATTCCTCCAGCACAAGAATGTAAAATATTCTCTCACCGTTATAAGATATAAAATAGAGTAATATGGTCGTTTCCTGATAAACCCAATGTAATAATCACCTAGGGCCTGTGAATTTTATTCATGGGGCAAATTCATCTCACATTCATCTCACATTCATCTGACATTCGTTCCTCTTTTTAATAGAAGGCTTGCATTTCCCTGAGATGAGATTTGTGTGTGCGATTTATGGGGAACCATTTGCCACAGTGTGGGTGTGAGAAAAAACGGAGAGGAACATAGAGAGAGTATAAGAAAATTACCATGGTAGACCCAGACTATGTGGTAGCTTACATAAAACAAGACCCGTCCCGATGCTTGGCATCTATTTAAATCCATTTGCATCCTATTTCTCCCGAGATTTCGACAACAATGTTTCTCTGCAGTGATTCTGTCCTCCTTCCATTTTTATCAACGTTCAGTGCCACTGTAATCTCAGTGTGCCCACTAGGAGGCTTTGAGAGAGGGAAAAACTGTGCTCACAGTGGGATTAAACACCTGTTTTGGCAGCGGTCACACTCGAGATGTTTGCACAGTCATGCCCCTGCTTTAAGCCGTTATACCTCCGGGTCATTTCATGCCCAGCTCCAACAAAACCATGACATTATCTCTATTAAACCCCGAGCTCATAGAGATGTTTATTATTCCCACAGCATCAGACATTGTCATCTGTGAAACATGATAGTACTCCATCCAACACCTGCCCCTTTCATGGCAATTTGCACCCTGTGAAATCATCAAGAGTTCATTACTATGAATTAAGCTTCAGTGGCAGTGCAGCAGTCTTGGAAGGCATCAGTGTCTCTATCAAGTTGGCTGTGTGACTGGCGGGGACCAGATGGTGAAGAGGCTTCCAGATTTGTCTTTCTGTGGTAGATTAATTGTTTCTCAGTCTCCGCACTATGAGACTCACTTTGTTATTGGGTTGCACCCGCTGAAGAATTCTAAATATTTGACTCGCAAAACACTTGATTTGACAAAGAGGAAGCTGTTGAAATTACATTTTTTTTCCCCTCCAGTGCTACCAGAGTGCTGCAATTAGCACCTCCATTTCCTGAGCAGCCATGGTTAAACACAGTTATTTTAGCAATACACCATGTTTGTAATGATTCTCTTCAAAAAAAAAAATTGTTTTCTTTAGAAAGACGTTTGACATTGTGGAAAAGACATTGCATCCCTTTCCCGCTGAGAGCTAGATGATAAGTTTGATAAATATGAAGCTACAGCTAACAGCGAGTAAGAGTCTTAGCATTAAGACCAGAAACACAGTGAAACAGTTAGAGGCTGTTTCTTGTGCAGACTAAATAAATTAGATATAGTAAACTTTATAGAGTTGTTGGTAAGTGGATTTCATCACCTTCAGACGGAGCTAGAACTGAGCTTTTCCCTGTTTCCAGTTTTTATACTGAGCTAAGCTAACCCTCAACAAAAACCGCCTACCAGCACCTCCGAAGCGAACTAATCAACACATTACATCTTGTTGTACACAACTCCTTCTGAAATGGCAAAATTTTTTGTTAGGATTTAAACAACACAAATTATAATGTGTTAATTTGTTAGCTTCAGGGATGCTTTTTTTTTTTAGCTAAGCTAGACTCCATTTTCTTGTGCTATCAGGGTGACAAGTCCCTATCCGATTGGTTGCCTGAAAAAGAGCCGCAGTGACTATACCAGCGCCTTTTTGAAAAGTTAAGAGATTTTCAGCTAGAATTGCTCGGAGTAGAAAAAAGGCTTTATGCTCTCTCCTCATTGGGAACAACTGAAAAGAGACACTAGCACCCAGGAAAAAAAATGCTGTATGGAGACATGCCCATATACTGCAAAGACAAACTTAAATTCAAAAGACTTAAGTAAATGTCACATTCCTGAATGTTGAAGAATAGATAGTGTGCTGCTGAATGTGAGATTACAGTATCAAATCTTCATTTCAAAACATAAAGTCCTCAAAATACAGGTAGTATAAAGAAAATCCCCAAAATGAAAATGCAGTTTTGCATCAGTAGCTTCTCTCTGGAGCTTTCTCTCAGAGACGGTGACTGCGTGCTAAAACAATCTTCTCATGTTTGCTCTGTTCTTGTTGATTCACAGGTCTCATAACACAGCCAGAGGCGGGAAAACCAGGGAGTGACTGTCTGAGGGAGCGAGCTCTCCCCTGGACATTGGACAAACTACTCACTGTAAAACACTTCCTATTTCCTGTGACCGGCTCCTCCGGGTTTGTGACTGCTCCCTCTCGCTATCTGTCGTTGGGTCAACATGTTGCATCCACCTCCTCTCCACTCTATCTGCCTGCTCTGTGACTTTAGCAGCACTACTACTCGTGCCACGGAGGATCGGACACCTTAAAATCTCATGAATGGTTTTTTGCCTCATTGGAGGTCCTCTGTTTGGAGCTACTAACTGCTTTGAATAAAAGGATTTCCCACATTCATCTCCTAGCCCCTAGCGCAGGAGTTCCAGGGCATAGACGGGATCATTACAGATCAGACCCCGTTGCTTCCCGGACCACCTCATGAGGCTTAAAAACCGAACTGAGCGCTCTCTGCTGTGAATAGGCCTTCTGCTGGAGTAAACCGCCCATATTTTTATAGACCAAAGAGCAAAACAACAAATACGATCATTATTACAGAGTGGACCATCTGGCACACAGAGACTTTATAAACTCGCTGCTTGTGTCGCCACCAACCAATGACTGCCCCCACAGAGACACGGTGCACAAGAGGACAGACCCTGCGTACAGTGGCAGATGTACCGTGCACAATCAAAGGAGTGCTTTTAAAATCTTCCAGACATTTTTTTTCTCAGACTAAGCCCACCACTGTATTTTGGAACTGGAGATATAGGTACTACATACGTATAACTTGTGTAATTCAAAAAAAAAAAAAAAAAAAAAAAAAAAAATCTGATTTGCATTTTTCAGTAGCTACGGTTGGGACAGTTTGCAGGAAGAATTGTCGGGTTGGTCGCGGATGACGAGTGCAAATCATATCAAAGAAATGATGAATATCTACAGAGAGTATAAATGCTGTCAAGTATGAAAAGAAGGAGTAAAGAAATGTCATTAAATGTATTTTGAAAGGCCCTAAAAAGTTATATATTTAACAGTTTTATATGTTGTACCTTTGTAGAGAAGCTTATTGGACTTAAAATGTGGTCACAATGGCAGTTTAGTAGGATGTGAACAAATGCTGTTGTTCTCATTACTGCTGGCTCGTAGTCCCAGGTTTTCCGTTCACACCTCAGTAGCCGCTTTCTTTTCATGGTCATCAACAAGCCACTGTCTATCACAACCATTCATGGAAAAAAAGGAAAGTGACACAATTTATTGAGGACTGATCTGCAGCCAACTGAACATTGTAAATCTATGGTAGTCAGTGGAAGCCATTGAAATCTGCTAATTTGCTATGATATTGTATTGTACACGGTGTGGAATACTGACTCATTTCCTCTCTTTGGCTTTTGATCTCTTAATTTATTTTTGTGCTTGTGTTTGTTCGCACAAATGCGGCCTCTCTCCGACGGCGAGGAGCACAACGAGGAGAGAGAGAGATAGAGAAAGCATTGCAGAAGTAATAGAGTCATTTACATACATTTTTTTTATCATGAAATATTTTAAGAATAAATTAAATACATGAAAAGAAACTCCTCTGCAAATTTAGATGGTCTTGGTGTTCAAGGTCATCAACGGGAAATTGATCTCATTCTAGTCTTACTTTTAATGAATGTACTGTGTGTGTTCTGTCAGGAGAAACGTGACTATAAGTGAAAGTTTCCTTTTCTTTCTCAGGTGATCAGCTGGGTTTATGACCAGATACTTTCTGGCCTGAAGTCCTAAAAAGCTCAGTGGGAAAATGTATGTGGGGGAAGGCAACAAGGGCCCGCGATCAACCAGTACAGAGACCGATTTCATCAAGGTTATTCTTTAGCTGCACCAGTGACAAACAGGTGGCTGTACTGGGCAGATGCCAGGTGTCAGTTAAGTGCATAACCTTGAAGCTGGAGGTTGCTGGAAAAGAATAATTCATCGATCTATTTTTTAAAGCGCTTTGCGACTTCCATGACCCAGTAAAAAGCTATGGAAATTTTACTTTTTGAATTCTTTAGTTCTTTTGGGCATCAACAGCAAAAAACATCATTTTTCATACAGTTTTTTTAATCATGAACATGTACCAAATGATTGAGATGTCCATTTAAAACAAAAGTGCACTTTCGACCACCTGCATACATTTGACTCCATTAAAATGAAATAAAAAACACCTTTTAGTCGCCCATGTCTTTCATATGAACACAAGCAGGGTTTAAATTGGGTCAGGGCTGAGCTCCGTCTCCTTCAATATCATGTCACACTTGTATTTTTTAAATCTCACAGTTACTGTAATAGTATATGGGTTTCAATGAGTAATTCTGTAGACTACAAAGGGAGATATTTGAGCCCAAACCAATGTTAACAACAAGCTTTATAGGTCACTGGTATCAATTATCAGACATCATCAAATGCATCAGGCGTTGACAGTCTCTAACGGCACCATCTGACTTTCAAGTTTCAAAAGTTCACTTCTGAGATAGTTAACATTTCATGTGTATTTACAAAGCTGTGTTGCCTTGGTGAACTAGACATTCTCTCACCTCCTGTGGTATCTGGTAATTTCACAAAAATACAGTTAGAAAATTCAGGGGTGCTAACTAACTCAGAAAGACTCACTGTAATTAGACTTGAAAACACATTAGCCCAGCAACATTAAGGCTACAACCCATGATTCAACACTGTCTGTAGGAGACCACCGCACTTTTTCAAAACTAATCCCCCCCTTTGATCCAATATTGTGATATATTTGGATCAAAACAGTGATAATGTCAACAAATGTACAGTGGAATAACATTGTATTTATAGTATTGACAACGGTTGGATAACAGAAAATGTTATATTCCCTGCTACATTAATGGACATCTCAACCAAGTGGTAAAGCATGTTTTATAAAATTATTTGTGGGATTTTTATTTATGTAATTCTGTTCTGCATACCTCCTGAAATTAAACCACATCAACAACATATTATTACCTTTTATAACACCATCATAAACAGGTGAAATGCCATTACTAATTTTGTTAGAATTTTATTATTCTAGCTTCCTGGAACACAGTCACCTGATAAGATCTGGATCTGAAAACTGCAGTGCACCCTGCAAATCTTTGGGGTGATATAACGTCCTTCAACTATGTGCTAGAGATGGCTCAGTTAGGTTAAAGATAAATAAGATATTACAACTCTACCAAACAGAGAAGAAGACCATTATAGGCTTAAACCACTTATCTTGTTGTGGGTCATGTGCTTGAAGCAATCAAAGGAAAAATTGTGCGAAATTGTTCATAACATGGAAGGTAAGTCAAGTCCAATGTCACATGAAATGATTCATTGTGCTTTACACTTCTGCATCATCGGTGGATTCTGAAGCATTTCAAGAAATTATTAGAAAACACTCTGAGCACAAAAGGAAAATTGGAGAAGAAATTCAAGAAGAGATGTAGCTGTAACAGTTATTTAATAACAATTTCCACCAGTTGTGATCAGGGCTTAAACAATGAAAAGAATATCATCTCTCATTGGGTTGAGAGGAGCTCCATACAATAACATAATACTGTATGTCATAATAATGAACGAAAATGTCAGTTGAAGACATTAATGCATATAAGCATGCAATTATGCATTCCACAGAAATCTTTTGTACCATGATGAATGCTGTCATGTGGTTTCCCAATACATTTTTCAAGGGCTATTGAGTTGACTTCACTGGATGACACTTGAAATAATAATGACTGTATTACTATAGGCTCATAAGATGAGTAGGGCTCATTATAGCTTTGTTTTTAATGTCGCTTAAAAACAGCTATTTAACTGCAATGTGACACACTGAATATATATATATATATGCTGTATATTATACACATTTAAGTATCCATGGTAAAAGGGGATAGATAAACATGCACAAAGTAAAGGTATGTAGATGAAAACAGATTCACAGATGTAGCAGTAAATAGGAATAATACTTTTAAGAAGGTGATTTACTGCAGTACCAGTAAAGGTTAAAGTCCCCCTTTACTCAAAAATGTTTTTCGCCTTTTCTTTACTTTAACTTTTAAGCTTCACTGTGCATAATAATGTATGTGAAGAGTTTGACACTAGAAGGCTGTTTTTACATTAATCTGCTGAGTGGGGAAACCTTTTCTATGATCACCTTGAATCTGAATTTAAAATGTATATCTATATTCAAGCAGGATTTTGTGACATCACAGGAAGTGTGTAAGCAATCTGTGGCTTGTTTAAATAAATTTTGTGGAAATCCAATACCAAACACAATTTAGATGACATATAAACACAAATTCTGAAAATTTGTAGTAGATTTATGTCTGAAAACAATTGAAATACCATTGATGCGAAATAAGGTTTTCCAAATAAACACAAAAGCTTATCTTTGACATAATAATATAAGGAAGTTACTTGAAAAGCAACTACTTGATAAATATATTCCAGTCCACTAGGCTGGACATTCAGTTTTAAGTGTGTGTTCTCCACATTAGCATGATACTCAATAGTATTACTTATACCCTCTTTAAGAGAGTCACTTAATAATACATTGTATAGATTAAAAACAAACAACTAGGGTCTCAATTGAGTTAACAGGTAGTTGAGTTAACAAGCTCACTTACAGTGGGTTAATGTTTTTCCTATCAAACTGTTTTCAGGTTATGTCGGAGTTGTTCCTTCCCTATGACCTGCAGATATCATCAACACTAGTTTGTGTCTCTATAATGATTCGACACTGAATCAGCTATGCATATCTGTGGTTCAGTATACAGGCTGCACATTGAAAATAAAAAAAGAGACTATATAGGTGCTTCCAGGTATATGCAACTATTTGTTCCAGGTATTTGTTATATCCTGCTTTACACCAAAGGGAATATGTATGAACCTTCTCGAACAAGCAGCAGAAATCCACCTGAATCCCCTCTGACTTCATGCAGGAAACACAGTCTTTTGATTCCAAGATAAACACAGAGAGGCAAAGGTTTTAACCCCAACTCCTCTCACTAAATCCTGGTTTGAACCATTATGCTCACCCATACTTGACTTTTAGTCTGAGCGCTAACACAGCAATCTGGCTGGATCATCCTATGCATCCTCTGTGACTGTGTACAGAGCTGGAAATGAGACCTCAAAGTAAGGGAGGATTTTTCTTTTTTTATTCATCCCCCGTCTACCTAAGAGAGTGATTGTTTGGTGAATGCGGGGGGGGGGGGGGTTTATTACATCAGATGGAATTGCAATAATCTGCTTCATATCCTTGAGGTTTTTCTGACAGCATTTGGAGTCATGCCTCGACATATTTTAATTTGATTAGGACGGGACAATGTGGGGTTTCCTATAAGCAGGTACAGTCAGAAAAGAGCCCTGCAGAGTATGATGACACAGTTGGGGTGTCAGATTAGGGCAACTATCATAGAGTGAGTAGACTGGTGCCTTAAGGTGGGTAAGCTTTAAGGCTTCATGTATGTATGTGCATTTTTGTCTTTTCTAGGGAAAGATAGGAGACCATGTCTTTGTGTTTGCATTCCTGCATGTCGGTCACTGTGTCTGTCACAGAGCAACGCCTGCAGAGACAAGGGGAAGAGTACATGCATGCTGCATGCTGCTCCACAGCCTGCAGTAAACCCTGAGGGTAGAAGATTCTCCCTCCATTTACATCCCAGATAAATCCCCGAAATACCAATACTGCATCACACTGCACAAAATATTATTATTTGCTTTGATGGATAACACTTACCTACTAATTCAAATTTCA